CACCACAGACATTTATGAAACTGTACAATTATGATCTTTTACCCACATGGATGTGGGTGAGCATTTTACACAGACATTTCTAAAATATCTGGAAGAATTTCTACTTGAGAGAAAAGTTTAAAGATGAAAGAAGTTAAGAGGGAGTAAGAGGGTGTGTGAGGGGAAGTAAGTGTTCACCAGAACCGACACTCTCCATCAGAAACCCAGCTCGCCTCGGTACGCTTGGTAGGAAACTTGACCCATTACCTTTCTGATGATAATCAGCAGATATGGTGTTCCGTTAACGCTACCTGTCCAGCGTCTCCTTAGGATGGCTGTAGCTCGTCAGAAGTAGTGGCGAGTGAAAGTGTTATATTCCCATGGAACTCGGAAGAGCTTGTTGTCATGTCAGGATCATCCCGTCTCTCACAGAACTGAGCAGAACTGAACAGAACAGAACTTCTCCAGAGCTTCAACAGAACTGAACTCTCAGGACAGAACTGTGCAGAAACAGCATCCGAGCAGAGCTTCAACAGAACTTCAACAGCACTCCATCAGAACTCTCTAGCAGAACTAGAACTGAACTCGAGCAGACTTGAACTGAGTAGACCAGGAAGTACTGACATTTTAAAGAGCTGTTTCCCGGTTCACTTTTGGGAGTATTACCATTGGTCAGAAACAACCAGACGGGGTGTGTTTTGTGACGTAAGAGGTTAGACGAAAAGCAAGAATTGTTATGGAAAGATCAGAAATGTTCTCACAGACAGAGAGAGTTTTGTTTTGGCGCGTTTCAGAAACAGGTGCCAAAAACCTCTATATTTATGTCTGAGAGGATTCTAAAAACATGCCAACAACTTGTTTTGCGTTTGACTCCAACCTTGGACCAACTTACACTTGCTCATTCAAAAGCAGAAATCAGAAAAGGCATAATTACTCTGTAACAGACCTCAACATGAATTTTAACTTTGCATGAGAAAAAATCATTACACAGTTAATAAAATTGATTAGTTCACTGCAACATCTAAAATGGTTTGAACTAAGACA